GTTAGGGTTGAAAAAAAAAACACATTTCAAATCAAAAGAATAACCAGAATAAAATATTGAAATAGATTTAATCATAAACAAGGAAAAAAAAAAAACCCATAAAAATATAAGGGAAATGATCTACCTATATTCGACTATAAGCCGGTCTGTATGAATACCTCTCTACAACAACTAGATGGATACTAATAAAGAATAAAGATATAATATAATGTGTATCGTCTAAAACGTTTGGTCACGACGACCCACAAGCCGAAGGAGTACAGTCAACACATTCTCATGATACTCGCCACATTTTTCCCGATTTCTTCTTTCGTTTGCTCACATATTGGAATTTCACCAATGTACATGTCGAAAAAGGCCCCTATAGACACATGTAGATAGAAATTAAAATAAAAGTTTCCAGTGTTTTCTTAACAGTAATTTAGTAATTTTTTTATGAGATATTTTCTAAAAAAAAAAAACTTACTACATAAATCTTTGCTGTGGACAGCTCCAATATTTTTTCCTCCAACTGCGCGAAAAAAAATAATTACTACTTAGACAAGTTCGAAAATTACCAAAAAGGGGTTCGCCTTTTTCAGTGCGCAGCTTAAAATGAAACCACGTTGTGTACAAATAAACAAAAATGGGAAGAAGAACAAACAGTTGAAGCAGTACATAACATTAGTTCTTTGTTAGCAGTAATACAGATGTTATTATACCTTCAGTAATTAGATGTCCGTCAGCTGCACGCCGGAAGTTAATTGTTGTACCCTGTAAAATTTTTCCCATGTTATTACATCACTAATGTAAGAGACAAATTGTTGTCCCTGTAAATTTTTTCCCATGTCATCGATAACTAATATAAGAAGAGAAAATGGATAAAATGTGGGAACAAATGATTAAAATACCACGTGTAAGGGAATGTCCTGTGAGAAGATGGAACCGAAAGTTTGCAGGCAGCTAAAATCAGCATGAGGATTTGTCTGCAAATAGTGACAATTTGTCAGGAGAAGGCCTATGAAAACACTGCCATCAAGAACTGGTGAAAGTCGAATAAACATACCCTTTCTAATCTGGCTCTAAGAGACTTCTCAAAAGCACTACAAGATAGAAATTTATGAAATATCATAATCATTAACATTCATCAAAATCCAAGTGTTTTTCTTCCTATCCCACATTCTGATAATTTGTGCCATTAATCATAATTGTTTTACTCGGAAGTTTTGGCAGAAGGCGAAGATAATGTTTTTCTCGTGAAAGCTTCTTCTTTACTGGAATATTATATCCAATGATTAATAGTTATATTGCTATTTTATCAACTTGCTCGATGCATATTTTTCAAATACTATTAAGAGTTTTGACTCACTCTTTCATAGTATTAATTTTGATACCGTTGCAATTAATCACAAGCCTAATAGTCATGTTGATATCCTCCCTGCAGCACATGCAAAAGAAATAAATAAATAATAAAAACTTCTTCCAAAATAATGCTAACAAGTTTTTACTCAACGTGCAATTGACAAGTTTTTTTTGTAGATAGAACAAACCTAAGAAGATCTCGATAAAAATCTTGGCACTTGTTCAATTCATCTTCTGGAATGCAGGCATACTTCGAGCCCAATTTCTCACACACGTCAAATGGGTGAACATCTACAAGAATAAGTGTAAAACTCAAATATACGGCAAAACATTTTCTGAAAGCAAGCATAGAAAATTTCAAAGAGCCAAGCATCAACAAAGAACTTACAGAAAGCAAATGCATAGACTTTCAGAGTTTTGATTCTTATAATTGTCATTGTTCTTGAACCAGTTCCCACAAGTACCTGATAGTTAGGCAGTACGACAAAACAGATCAATGAAATAATCGATAAAACAAAACCCAAATCAAAATAGAAATGATGTGTGTGTAACAAAAATTGGAGAGTAGAACATTTGCAGGATAATAAATAACAGAAAACGGAATCAGAAGAAAGCAGTACAAACATAAATCCATCCATAATGAAATAAGGAACTTTATAGCATAAGATTTAAAATTCACGAGGTTTGAAGTCTATTCATTTGAAATCCCTCAATTCAAAACACAGCCTTAGGAGTAATTTTAAACTTTGTTAGTTATCTGTACATAGAACATCTGAACAAGCAAAAGAGATGTCAGGTATTTATACAGCATACAAATAAAAGAGATCGTCACTTTTTATGTTCAGTGGAACATACAAGAAAATCGCACAAGATCAAAACTTTATGCACCAACCTCAGGAGTGAAACTGGAATTACTTTCTACGGACATGAAGTCCCCCAACATGGTCGGGAACTCGACACCTGTCCTTGGCTCGACTGTCTTGTTATCATCCCAAGCTAAATTCTGGAAATAAAGACCACCGGAAGGTCCACCACTTCGATTTTCAATCTCGCACGGGTTGCGACCCATGCAACTTTGGGCTTCAACAGAACTAGTTTCCGTTGGAATTGCCAAGACATTTGACGAGCTGGAATACGAAATATACGGCATAAAAGATAAGTTAAGTGTAAAAAAAAAAAAATGAAAAACAGACATTTGAATCTCACATGTTCGTAATTGGCGGCACTAATGCAGCTGCTAATGATAGCACTGGAAGACACTGAAGACGTTCGGCCTCTTTACAAATTTGTTTCAATGCAAAACTCGATACCTTACCAAACACCACTGGAATACCGGATTTCATTCTATGCTTTGAATTCCAGAAAATCTGCTTACATCTTGTCTTACAGAGGAAATATGCTTGACTTGAGTAGAAGAAGCATTTGAGTGACAACCAAGATTATTCCCAGGCAATTTACGGTTGATATTGCAATTCGACCCATTCGCAAACCATAAAACTAAAGCGCCTGCAATTTTAGACATACAGTTGAAAGCATCCTGAAGTGCCAAACTTCCGGGCACGAAAAGATGTCTTGTATTGTCAACCAATGAAGCAATATGAGCTAGCCAATGGGCACTCTGAGGCAAAAGTGGATCCATAGAGAAAGAGCCGAACGAGCCCCCATCTGGTTCGATGAAGAAAAACCTATTACTTCCCATATCAGCCCACTACAGATTTTTTATTCAAGTTGAATTCTTGTAATGATTGTTGCTCAGTTGCCCGAGAGAAAAACCTGATCGGGTGGTTTAAACAAGAGTTAGCAAAGGTATTAAAAGTCGAGAAATCGTGATTTTTGCAGTATGAATGCACAAAGATATCACAAGATGACAGAATGAGGAGCAACTGCCACAGCTTACACACTGAGAAAGCTAAACGAACATATTAAACGATATTCCTTAAAAACTAAAATGACAAACAATAGGATTCATGCCCGGAACATTGGATGTAACCGATACCAAATTTGTACCAAGAATTGGAGGCAGAAACAGATCTAACAACATTTGATCAGCTAAACCGAAAAATACAATCTTGAAACAACAGAAAAATCTTGCAACAAAAATAAAGAAAATAAAACAAGCCACATTTCATGAACAAACAACCAAACATTACATTCAATATCAATTCAAGGGACAAGAAAGAGTCACCAAAAAATGCAATCTTGAGACAGCAGAAAAATCTTGCAACAAAAATAAAATAAAATAGAATAAAATAAGTTAGATGAAAAGAAAGGACAAAAGGGGAAAAAAGAGGTTACAAACCTGCAAAAAAAGTGAATGCCCAGAAGATCAATAGCCCTTTGACATAATTTGGAACCCAAAAAAAAAAAGGGAAAAAGGAAAAACAAAGTTCTAATTTCTAAAGGTACCAAAGGTTGAAAGGGTTTTTTTTTTCCAAAATTATTTCTGGAGAATCATTGGGAGATTCTCGCACAATGCCTCTGTATAAAAGATCGAAAAAAAAAGGGCGCAAAGAAAAATCTTGACCTTCGTTTGCTGCCTACAAAATATAAATATGAAGATCTCTCTTTATTATATATTAATTCAAAATGTGTCTAGTCTAAGTGTCAGATTCTCACGCTTCAGATGTTGAAATGACAAAAATCTTCGTGATGTTGTTTTTATATTATTTTGCTCTGAAACTAGATTTTGTATTAAACATAAATAACTTTACACATATATTCATTAACTCAACATACATGTTCTACATATATATTAGTACTAGTGTTTGTTTATAAAAGAAGTTATTCAAAGTCTAACTTTTAGCACGTCTCACTTGCTAAATATAATTAAATAATATTAACATTAATTACTTATCACATCAATCTTAATCCACTATTAATTTAATCACATGATTTTAAATATCATTCTTAATCATTTATCTCTTAACATCAAACTAGTACAGAGCCCGTGCGGTGCACGGGGTGTACAATTTTAAGGTCATTTATCGAGTCTTATAATTATATAAATAAATAAATAAAAATGTACGGGATATATATAATATGTGACCTGTAATAGGCCAAAATGTGAACACGGGTATGCACGGGGTGCACGATTTTAAAGTCATTTATTAGTACAGAGCCCGTGCGATGCACGGGGTGCACAATTTTCTAGTATGTGTAATAAAAATACATACCGTATGCAGGGGACAGAAGCACTAAATGAGTCATTTCCACAGAGCTTGCCCGTTAAGTAGCTCCTAAACACGGGTGCACAATTTGTAGTACGTACCATAAAATCAGAACAGATTTCCATACAATTAGATAATAAATTAGATAATAAATAAAGTCTTTTTTAATTTAGTAAAGATTTTACGTATTTTTATCTTTTTTTTTACTTATCGGATGTTATGAGATTTTTTTTGTTAAACCGATTTTATGGAATATAATACAAAAATACAATTAGAGGATTGAACTAAAACAGATTTTCATACAATTAGATAATAAAAAGGAATTGGATAAGGAAAAGAAGGAATTAGATAAGAAAAAGAAGGATTAGATAAAGAATTTTTAATCTGACTTTTTTTAAGTATAGATAGATTTTACGTACAAATTTTGACTTCACTGATTTTATGGGATTTGTTTTGACAAAATCGATGTTAATATGGAATAAGACGAATAAATAAAGTCTTTTTATTTTAGTAAAGAATTTACGTCTTTTTTTTACTTGTAAGATGTTATGGGATTTTTTTCTTAAACTGATTTTATGGGATATAAGATAAATAAATAAAATAATTAAATAAAATTTTGAAGAGAAATAGCAATGCATTAATTACGTTGACTTTTCAATCTACTAAATTTGGTAAATAGGATACCTTATATAATAAGTATAGATATATAAATAAATAACATGCCAAAATTTTAAAGAATAATTAATGTATTTTAATTTATTATCTAGCCATAAGTAATATCATTTAATGATGTGATCATTATCTCTTAAATAATAAATAAAATATTAATTTAAAAAAAAATATTTGTTTTTTATATACTCAAATAAAAATTAAAAAAATACTATCATCAAATATGAATTATAATATATATAAGTAAAATTATTACAGAAGTTAATAAAATTATTTAAGGAAACAATCTTTTTGATCATATTTGAATAGAAAATGTGTATATGCAACCAATTAATGCATATAGTAAAAAATTTTCAAATAAAGTATGCATTAAATGTGAGTTGACTTTTCTTGCTGCTATTTTTGGTAAATATGATGGCTTTTAATATAAGTATAGATTTAATTAACTACTTACATAATTTTAACTATCACTCTCACTCACTTACACATAAAATTACACTACATCAATTTTAAATATTTTATTTTAAATATTATTTTAATATTCTACTAAAAATTAATCACTCTCAATCAATTGTACATAATTTTACATTAAATCAAAATGAGGAAAAATACAAATACCTAAAGTACAGGTCAAAATAAGTCTATCTTGAATGATAGTTACAGGTTGGGCTTTTCAAAGGACAAAGAAAGATGGTCGGTAGCATAGAATGTAGACCAACCCAATTAAGGTGGACAATTATTTCTTAGCGAATCCCGTTACATAACCATTCCGTCGGGGTTTGTAACTGTGAGATCAACTATCCACAACCCAATTAAGGTGGACAATTATTTCTTAGCGAATCTCGTTACATAACCATTTCGTCGGGATTTATAACCGTTAGATCATCATATAACCGTCATGAATAGTTGATCTCACAGCGAACGGGAAGAACACGAGATACTCTCTCGACTGAATGTACTAAGACAGATAAAATTTCATTCAAAAACTTATCAACGATAGTTTACAAGCCCAGATTAATAATCAGGACTCCAACTCCTAACCAACTCTTGCTTATACATAGCAAGATAGTTATTTTAAATAGCTAAAGTAAATAGGAAATTAATAAAAAGAGAATAATAATAAATGACTTAAACTCGGAGCCGATCATATTTATTCAGAAAGGCGATCGCGGTCTCGTCTCCATCATCTTCCCTCGGTTGAGAAGGATTTAGCCGCGAATCCGAACCGGTCTCGTCTCCGTCTGAGCCGTAGTTGGTGAAAGGGGCCAACTCTGCCACATGAAAAATATCAGATGAACATCTATGAAATGGAAGGCGAAGACGGTAAGTATCCTGCAGGAGCCGTGCAAGAACCTCATAAGGCCCGAGTCTATCGCCCGGAAGAGAAGCAACCCACACAAAGTCGCCCACGTCGAAGACCACGGAACTACCGAGCACTGCTCCAAACAAATCTCCACGCGCCCATCTCGAGCAAGAAACAATGATGTCGACGTCTGTTGTAAAGGAACAGAACGAGGGGCCGAGGGATGTAAGACAACGCGGTTGCCTTCAAACAGAAATCCATACGTGTTAAGACGCCCATCATGCACCACGACACGATCAAATTGCCATGGACGTCCTAATAAAAGGTGCCAATCATCCATCGGCACGACATCGCACCACACCTCATCCCTATATGCCGAACCAATAGAGAAAGACACCAACACACGCCTGTTAATAGGGACAATGTCGTCACGCCGAATCCAGGCGAGAGCATAAGGATCCGGATGGTGCTCCGACGACAATCCAAGCTTCGCCACGGCCTCGTCAGATATCACGTTCTCAGATGACCCGGAAT